TTGCCTAAAGAAAATTTTTAGTGATGCCTTTGTAAAAGTCACCCTTCAGAACCTAAAAATGCTGCATGTAGTGGAACCTGATGTGACCTAGGGATTTCCACATCTGAAGTCTGTCCGGGAACTCATTTTGAAACGTGGACAAGCCAATGTCAAGGATAAGACCATCTCTCTGACCGACAACACAGCGATTGAAGAGCACCTGGGGAAGTTTGGTGTCATTTGCTTGGAAAACCTCATTCATGAAATTGCCTTCCCAAAGCAGCATTTCGAGGAGATCTCATGGTTCTTGCACACTGTCCACCTCTCAGTGCCCAGTTATGCTACCAGAAATAGAGTGAGCTTCCTCAAGGAGATGCGCACACTTGGCTATTGGGGTGAATGCATCAATCAGCTTATCTGCCAGCTGAACTAGACCCAGGTGCCAAACTGCGGTAAATTTTTATTAATGAAGTAGAAGCATGTGTTTTTTGTTTTTCGGGAATTTTTATCAAGTATCTTCAGAGAGATTATTTCCTGCTTTATCTTCAAAAACTGGAAAGGAAGGGTCAAAGAAAAGTCAGTAGCTGGCTGGGCGCGGTGTCTCACGCCTGTAGTCCAAGTACTTTGGGAGGCCAAAGTTGGTGGATCACCTGTAGTCAGGTTTGGGAGGCCAAGATGGGCTGATCACTTGAGGCCAGGATTTTGAGACCAGCCTGGCCAACATGGCAAAAACCCATCTCTACTAAAAATACAAAAATTTAGTAGAGATTTTATATTTCCAGCCTGTAATTCCAGCTACTCAGGAGGCTGAGGCATACCTGTAATTCCAGCTACTCAGGAGGCTGAGGCAGGAAAATTGCTTGAACCCGGGAGGTAGAGGTTGCGGTAAGCTGAGATCGCACCATTGCACTCTAGCCTGGGCAACAAGAGCAAAACTCTGTCCCTCCCGCCAAAAAAAAGGAAAAGGAAAAGGCAGTAGCTTATGTTTATGGCAAGCACCTCTCATCACAGTTCAGCTCCAAGGAAAAATTCCAGCGTTTTCTACGTTGGCTGCCGCCTCATCTGAAATCGGTGCATTCCATGGAGGAAGGAGTCCTACTTTGTTGCATCTTCTATTCTGGGGCTTAATGTTGGTAAATGAGTAACTCTAGCATTTGTACAAGGCTCTCTAAGACTTGCAGCAGTCGACCAAGCCCAGGGACATAATTGAATCTGGAGATTCCTGGGGCCTTGTTTTGAAAAAGACTTGAAATACACATAGGAAGGCACAAAAATAAGTGTTTACTTGTCAAAACAAAAAATCCAAAAATTAGCTGGGTATGATAGTGCCACCTGTGATCTCAGCTACTCAGGAGGCTGAGGCAGGAGAATTGCTGGAACCCGGGAGGTTGAGGCTGCCATGAGCCGGGATTGCATTGCTGCACTCTAGCCTGGGCAAAAGAGCAAGACTCTGTCTCAAAATAAATAAATAAATAAATAAAAATAAAAATAAAGAAAGGTAAAATATGATAAATAACATTAGAAACACCTTTTAATGTTGAACTGTTTTAATGCTGAATTTAGAGCAAGTAGGCAGTGAATCTGTGGGAAGGGGCTTTAGGATCAGGAAAGGCTTAATGAAGTAGGCAGGTTTGGGTTTTGAAGGATTTTGAAGATTTACATAGATGAAGATCAGATGGGAGCATTTCAGTTGGCTAGAAGAGCATTAGCTAGTGGAATTAGTATTAGCTAGATAGTGAGACCTTTAGAAAGTTGCTTATTGAATAAATGTAGTCTCGATTGTCTGCCAGATCTAGTGCTTGAAGAGGAGTAAAAAGAAATGTCTAGAAAAGAAGCTGAGAGGAACTGCTTGCTATAGAGGGCTTTGAATGCATTCTAATGTGAGAGTGGAGTGGGAGGTACCTCCTTTTATAGAAATTGCAGAGCTATTGAAGACTAAGAAGCCAGGGGGTAAGCTAACTGTTTTTACTGAGGTGAACTGGCTGCCAATCTTCAGTGTGCACCACAAGAATGAGAGGCTGAGATATGGTTGTCAGATAGGATGTTGTCCTGGCTGAGGTACAGCCATAGGGGAGGGAGGAGGGGACCAGGAGAGAAACAGAAGCAGTATAAACTAGGAATTATGTCTGCCTCTGTAGACAGAAGAGGGTTGTTGAAGATGGTTGAGCTGGAAGAGCTGGGAGAGTAGCAGTAAATTCTTTAGTGGTATTTATGGAAATGAGGTCAGGAAAAAGATTTGTTTTATAAGGGAAGAAAATGAGACAAATTTTGGGAACATGGTTTTTTTAAAAAGTACTTTTGGCTGGGTGCAGCGGCCCATGCCTGTTAATCCCAGCGCTTTGGGAATCCAAAGCAGGAGGATCACTTGAGCTCAGGAGTTCTAGACTAGCCTGGGCAATCTAGGGAGATCTTCATTTTTACTAAAAAATTTTTTAAAAATGAGCTGGTGTGGTAGTGGGTGCCTGTAGCACTGGCTTCTCAGGAATCTGAAGTGGGAGGATGCTTGAGCCCTGTAGATTGAGGCTGCAGTCAGTTCTGACTCTACCACTGCACTGCATCCTTGTTGAAAAACCTGTCTCAAAAAAAAAAAAGAAAGAAAGAGTACTTATATCTGTATTATGTGCACAAAAGTTCTGTAATAAAACAGGATAGTTGTCGTCTTTTTGTTATTAAGATGAAGATTGAGGCTGTCAGTTTGCCAGAGGTCACATTGTTAGTCATTTGTTGAACGCAAGTAGTCCCCATGTATGTTCATTGTTCTAAGTGTTCTCTATCCCCTCCCCTGTCCATCAGGCATTCTTGCTTTTGCCTGTAGTGATGGCCTACCTCATCTCAAAAGGGATCAGGCTTTTCTCAAAAGCATCAAATTCAGAGCTTTGGCCAACTCCTTTCAGAACTGTTCCAACTCTCCTCAGCCACCAGAAATTTCTAGGACTAATTTTAAGGAAACACCATGGCCAGCTAATCTCACCATCTCACACATCCATGTCATTCTTCGTCATCATCTGCATTGCAATACAGGTCTTTTTTTTTTTTTTTTTTTTTTGCTTTTATATTGAGTCTTTGCCTTTGCGTGACCCTGGTCCAGCCTTTTACTGTTGACCCCAAGCCAGCCTTTTACTGTTGTTTCCTTTCTTTTCAAACATTTGTAATTAATGCTGAGGTCTGTGGGAAACACTGTAGGCAGAGGTACGCAAACAGGCTTGGTCTAGTGCAGGAACAGCAAGAAGGCCAGTCTGGCTGGTGTGGCCTGAGTGAGAGGGCACATGCTAGGATATTAGGTCACAGTAAGCATGAGAGAGATCATATGGGACTTGAAGGCCAAAGTAAGGAGTTTGGATTTGATTCTAAATTATTTGGGAAGTTGGTAACACTTTTTATTTTGTTTGGTTTTGTTTTCTACTTGCTAATTTTTTAAAATAGAGAAACATAGCTTCTTTTATTATTGAAATTCAAAAAGGAGAACATATAATTATTCAAAAGATAAAAAGTAAAACACGTACCTTGGTTTTATAGTATAACTAACTAAGATAAGAAAGAAGGTGACCTGGTCGGGCATGGTGACTCATGCCTGTAATCCCAGCACTTTGGGAGGCCGAAGCAGGTGGATCACTTGAGATCAGGAGTTCGAGACCAGCTTAACTAACATGGTGAAACCTCTTTCTACCAGAAATTCAAAAAATTAGCTGGGCATGGTGGCTCACACCTGTAATACCAGCTACTAAGGAGGCTGAAGCTGGAGAATTGCTTGAACTTGGGAGGCGGAGGTTACAGTGAGCCAAGATTGTGCCACACTGCATTCCAGCCTGGGCGACACAGCAAGACTCCATCTCAAAAAAAATAAAAAAGAAAAAGAAGGTGGGGAGATGAAGAGAGCAGGGGCAGAGTAGACAGACTGAGGATGGTTCAGAGAGAGAAACAGGATGAGGTCCACAAGGATGTACCTGCCTTTCTCCTTAGCCAGTTGTGGAACTGTTTGAGTCTAGAACTTGGGTAGCCTCTCAGTGTCTTGACCACTATATTCACTTGGTGGGTGGTTAGGGAATTTTAGTTGACTAGTTGAATGGATGTTGAATGGGAATTTCTCACAAATAGAAAACTAGCCTGTGTGGAAGGATTTCTGGACAAGACACATGGAGAACAACATGTAAATAGCTATAGAAACTGAAAAAGAAAAAGAGGACAGACTTCATTGGAGGGTCTTTATGTTTTCAAAGGATCTAAAAGATCCTTCGGGCAGCGTATGGAGAGCAGACTCCAGGAGTTGGGGGACAGAAGAGAGAACTGGAGAAGGTTGCTGTCATCCAGGGAGAGATGCTTGGTTTGAAGATAAAGGTGGAGGGATAGGAACAATCAAGCATTTTGGCTGAAGCATTAGGGGAATAGGGATGGCAAAGGCTGAGAGGAGAGTGGGTTTATGTTGTGTACAGAACACTTTTCTGGGAACCAGAAGGGAAATAAACATAACTGAGATGGTGCTTTTCCCAGACAGGTTTATTGAGACATAATTAGATATAATAAAATTCACCCATTCCTAGTGTATAACTCTTAGGTTTGACAAACCTCTACAACATAGTCATAATCATAACCTCCTACAAAGTCAATATGTAAAACAGTTCCATCACTCCAAAAAATTCCTTGTGCCCTGTTGTTGCCACCCCATCTTCTAGCTCCAGCCTTCAGCATCTACTGATCTGTTTTCTGTGTCCCTCTACTTTTGCCTTTAAGATAACTTTTAAAGAGAAGAATGTAAAAATGACTAACTAAGGTAGAGTGTATTAAATATTGTGATTGTGTGGGCATGTAGAGAATTAAGTAAGGTCAGTTACAAGTTTGGAGGGGCTAGATAAGTTGTGACTTATTTAATTTACTTTTCAAAATTACAGAGAACTGTGCTTTCTAAGAGGAACAGAAATTCTTTAAAACAGCAGTATTCTTTCTTATATTGGCAGTGGATACTCATAAAATGCGATTCACATGGTTCTTTGCTAAATAATTATGTACACAAACTTTTATTTCAGTGAATTTGGGTGGTTTGAAAGATCACATTAAGGAGATCCAGAGATGTCGGCGTTTGATTCTTATTGCTTGTGGAACAAGTTACCATGCTGGTGTAGCAGTAAGTGCCTCTTAAAATTTTAATTATAGAGGATATCTATAGAACAAGTAGTGCCTCTAATAACGTACTATGTTAAACTCTCTTTTGTTAAAATGTGTTATCTTTTCACTTTTGTGATGAAAAAAAGAAGGTAGGGGAGAAATTTTAACAGCTGCTCGGAATTATTTATCAATGGAAGATCTGTAGAAAAGGTCCGTAGATATACAGATAGACCCTCTGCAACAGACTTCATGAAAGGCCAGGAAGGGGAGAGTTTCAGTACTGTCCTAGACTTGTAGCCTAAGGAGCTTACCTGTGTGTATAAGAGCAGTCATTGGATTTTGCTTAGTGTTGTTCACTTGCTATAGACAGATGACCCGTATCATGTGTGAACTTCAGTGCAGTTTTATTTTGTGGGCACATTACTGCAAAGAAAGGGAGTCTGCTTTTTTTTTTTTTTTAAATCAGATTTTATCCTTTAAATTCTTCTTTTAGAAGCTGAAATTTGATATCAAAAACTTGTTGTCAGTGCAGAAGCATAGGTATATGAGGGTCTTTTATTCTAATAAGTCAGATTCACATGTAGTTTCCTTAAAAAGAGACAGTTTATGTGCTGTTAATGTCAACTCTTATAAACAGAAGACCATTACATTCAGTTTTTGCTTTGAGGATTGATTTCCAAAATTCATGACATAGTAATTTTTTTATTTGCTGAGGCATAAATATTTATTAGGAACCATTTATTTAAGCAATGAGTGAAACTATATGGTCACTAGCCCTTGCATTTCAACAAGCTTTGCTCTTTTCTAAGACTACCATACACCTCCCCCTAATCCCCGAAAATTATATGGTCCTAAACAGAAAGTCTATGTAATATTGAAGGGTAGAGGTCTAAAAAAGTGATTGTTAGCTTTGTGCAGTGGCAGTATTGTAGCCAATTAGGTTTTTCCGAGGCACCATTATTGCTAATTTAGAAAGTGATTGTTTTGTCCGGGAGTGGTGGCTCACACCTATAATCCCAGCGCTTTGGGAGTGCAAAGTGGGAGGATCACTTGATGCCAGGAGTTTGAGCCTGGGCAACATAGTGAGACTCTGTCTTTACAAAAAGAAAAAAAATTATCAGGGTGTGGTGGCAAGTCCCTGTAGTCCTAGCTGCTTGGGAGGCTGAGGCAGGAGGATCACTTGAGTCCAGAAGATTGAGGCTGCAGTGATCCTGGATTGCACAGCTGTACTCTAACCTGGGTGACAAAACCAGACCCTGCCTCAAAAAAAAATGTTTTTGAACATAGGAAGAATGACACAAACACATTAGTGGTGACTTAGATCTATTACTGAATGAGCCCTCTATTCACAAATAAAAAAGTTGATTAAATGCTTCATCTAGTACTAAGGAAACTTGGGGGCAGAAATTTATATGCTCTGTTAGAATCTCTAATGTAGGATTTTTTTGTTGTTTTGTGGATGCCAAGACTGCTATAGTTAACAAACATTAGAAATCCCTGTGGTTTATCAGACAAAATAGTACCGTTTATTTTACCTTGTTTTACATTTTTTGTTGTTACGACACATTTGCATGGTTTTTTAGTATCCCTCTGTATCCTGAATAGTAACTGACTACACTCTAATTATTCTTAACCCATTTATGCCAGAGGTTGCAAATTTTTTTTGTGAAAAATCAGACCTTGGCAATGACCTAGAGCAGTAGAATATAAATAACTCCCACAGGCTTAGTGTTCCAATAATGGAATACTAGGCATAAATGGTTTAAGTATAGCCTATTTAGTAGGCTTTTCAAAATTTTAATTTTCTCTACATTTTGTCGTGGCATTCAGTGGAATTTATGCATTAAGTTACTCTATTGTGGTGGAAATAGGTCATTTTGTGTATTTATAAAAAGTTGTTTCTAGCTGGGTGCAGTGGTGTGTGCTTGTAGTGCCAGTTACTCGGAAGCTGAGGCAGGAGGATCGCTTTAGACCAGGAATTTGAGGCCGCAGTGTACTATAATCATGCCTCTTAATAGCTCTTGCACTCCAGCCTGGGCAACAAACCAATACCTCACCTTTAACCAAAAAAAAAAAAAAAAAAAGTTGCCTCAACTAAAAGAATAAACTGTATAGCATAGCTAAATCTCGAGATTACTTTTTTGGGGTCTGTTACTTTTAAATATCTGGTAAGTCTCCAGATTTCTTTCTCTCTTCTTTCCCCATCTTTTTATTTTGAAGAATATTATTCTAATGTAACATTTATATTATAAACCGGGTGAAAATGTTTGGTTTATATTTATTTGTGAGAAAACATTTAGCATTTTAGTGTCAGTAACTTAATTATACATTATAAATAAAATATATTAATGGAAAAGAGTAATCAAAAATAGGAGCATTTTATCTTCAATGATTTTCTTTACGTGATGTTGTAATGTTAAAAAATGCCAAACCAAAGTTATTTATTTTGGGAAACCAAATAAATCAATTCTGCCCAAATTTGTGAGGAAGCAAAAGTTAAAGGGCTGTGAAATAAGGGCACCTTTAAATTCTTTATTGCTGAGAAGGAAGAATGCTGAGATGGGTGAAAGATGGGCAGGGCCACTTGCCTGAAGAGGCTGGTGAAAGGCTGTCAGGATAGGTGATCTCCAGAGTTAGAATTAAAGCAACACTAAATATATACATTGGTTGAGCTTAAAGTTTTTGCTGCCTAAAAGTTAATTTTTCTGTTATTTTTAGTTTTCCAGTGTTTAGTGTAAAAGGAATTTAATTAGAATGGAAATTTACTGAAATGAAGGTTAAGCTACCTTTTGTACAGAGGCATATTTCCCCCTTCTTTATTCCCCCTGCCTCATGCCACAAAGTTTGAAAATAGTGAGACCTCTTAAATAAGATTTCTAAAATATACTGATGACTTTTGCAAAATCGTCCTATTTATGAATACATTGCATTTTTAAAGTGTTTAATTTTTCTCTCTATATTTGTACATCTCTTATTTGAAACCCTTCACTGGCATGGGTATTATGTGAATTTTCATTTTAAAGATTAGGAATCGGGAAGTTAGAGATAACGCACAGCCTGACCCAGAATCATGCTCTTTCCACTTCTCAAAATGTTTTATATGTGTGGGTTTGTTTCCTTGTAAGAATGTACGTGGCCAGGTGCCATGGGTGGCTCACGTCTGTAATCCCAGCACTTTGAGAGGCCGAGGTGGGCAGATCACGAGGTCAGGAGATCGAGACCATCCTGGCCAACATGGTGAAACCCCATCTCTACTAAGCTGGGCGTGGTGGCACATGCCTGTAGTCCCAGCTACTCGGGAGGCTGAGGCAAGAGAATTGCTTGAACCCGGGAAGCGGAGGTTGTAGTGAGCCAAAATCGCTCCATAGCACTCCAGCGTGATGACAATGCGAGACTCTGTCTCAAAAAAAAAAAAAAAAAAAAGAAGGTATGCATAGTTAGTTGTGTAAAGAGAGTGAAGTAAAATGTTAGCCATGCTTATCTCAAGCGGTAGGATTTTGATTTTTGATTTTTTATATTTTAATCTGGGTTGTTTGTATTTTCTAACATGTCATTTTGTAATCAGTAAAAGCGAAAACCATACATTAAATCCAGAGAAGTCCGGTGAAATAGTATTTGAAAGAGAGTTCTGTGACCAAGTCATCTTTTCTCTGCAGACACGTCAAGTTCTTGAGGAGCTGACTGAGTTGCCCGTGATGGTGGAACTAGCCAGTGACTTCCTGGACAGAAACACACCAGTCTTTCGAGATGATGTTTGCTTTTTCCTTAGTCAATCAGGTATGTTAATTTTAAAGACTTAAAGGGAAGAAAAGTGATTCTTTCCAATAATTCCAACGTATCTTGGCAAAAGCTGATATTTCAAGAGAAACTGGTATTGCAGGTAACTTGACAAACCCAGATTTATTTTTAATATTACTTAATCCTTTATGAGTTAGTAAAAATGAACACCTTTTATGTTCAAAGAGCTGGAGTTTAAACAACAGAAGAGAGATCTGACAAGCCACGTTACTTAAAGTTTTATAAATTTTTTAAGTGCATGTTTTGTGTTTTATTTAAAATAAGTAATATTGTTAAAAATATGGGCAATTTGGTTTTGCTTCTAAAACAGTATATGCTAAAACTGTTCTGTATGTTATGGTTGTCCTACTTTTTACACAGGTGAGACAGCAGATACCTTGATGGGTCTTCGGTACTGTAAGGAGAGAGGAGCTTTAACTGTGGGAATCACAAACACAGTTGGCAGTTCTATATCAAGGGAGACAGACTGTGGAGTTCACATTAATGCTGGCCCTGAGATTGGTGTGGCCAGTACAAAGGTAAATTCTTGCCTCATTTCTCTGGTGATTATTTAATCATAGTGTTAGTGAAGGAGACTAGCCTATAGACAAGTCTGTATCTTACTTTTGTTAGCAGTTACAGAACTCATATATTTTACTAATCATTGTAATTATCGTAGGACTTAAGGGTCAGTAGTAGATAAAAGACTTGTCATTCTCTCCCTCCTCCTAATCTTAGAGTTTAAAAGGGACATATGTATATAATGTCCATTTTGAAAAGGCCTCTGCTGGCTATCCCTGTCTTTCACTTACTGTCCTCCTGCTAGGCACAATAGGATACATAACAAATATATAACATCTCCTCCTTTTATGAAGTATAGTCAGGAATTAGAAAAGTAACAAATTAGAAACATCCAGTTTAACCATTTTTGGAATTTGGATTTACCTATTTATGGCAATGTACATACTACCTCTGAAAGTTTTTAAGGAGGAGTACACCTTTGGTATAAAATTTGGCAATTAAAAAAATTTTTTTAATGAGTATTGTATGACAATATCTGTTTCTCTTTAGATACTGCTCTGGGGAGGTTTAAAGGTACTGTCTTCTTTTTTTGAAGGCCTAGTAAGACTACTTTGCTCTTTGAAGTTAGAATATGCATAAATTTAGGCTGGTAATAAAAATAGGAAATCTTAGAAACTTGTATAAATGCAAAAGATGTTATCCTTCCACAAGTGTGTTTTGGGGTTTTATGTTTGTTTTTTAGAGACAGGGTCTTGTTTTGCCACCCAGGCAGGGGCTGGAGTGCAGTGGCGGGAATCATAGCTCACTGCAGCCTCAGACTCATGGGCTCGAGTGGGTCTCTTCCTCAGCCTCCTGAGTAGCTGGGACTACAGATGCACCACCATGCCTGGCCAGTTTTTTTTTTTTTTTTTTTTAAAGACAAGGTCTTGCCATGTTGCCCAGGCTGTGTATTACTTTTTATGATTTCACATTTTTGTTTTCTCAGTATTTTTCTGCTGAAGTCTGATATTTCTTGCTGATTGTCTAATATGATTTTGGGGTATTAGTGTATTTGAGTTTAATTAAAGGTTTGTGGAAGACAGTGTTAATGTGTACATAACCACATTTGAATATTTTCTCCCATAGAGAATTTTTTGTAGAAAATTTGTGATTCTTACATATCTCTTCTTTTCTTTTCCTTTTTTTTGTGGGGTGGGGGAGATGAAATCTCACTCTGTTGCCCAGGCTGGAGTGCGGTGGTATAATCTCAGCTCACTGCAACCCCCACCTCCTGGATTCAAGTGATTCTCCTGCCTCAGCCTCCCAGATAGTTGGTATTACAAACACCTGTAACTGTGCTTGGTTAATTTTTGTATTTTTAGTAGAGATGGAATTTCACCATGTTGGCCAGGCTGGTCTTGAACTCCTGACTTCAAGTGATCTACCTGCCTCAGCCTCCCGAAGTGCTGGGATTACAGGCATGAGCCACTGCTATACCTGGTCCTTTTTTTTTTTTGGAGACAGGGTCTCTCACTCTCTTCCATGGTAGATAAAGTGCAGTGGTACAATCATCATGACTTACTGCAGCCTGGGCCTTCCTGGGTTCAGGTGATCCTCCCACCTCCACCTCCTGAGTAGCTGGGACTACAGTTGCAGCCTACCACCCATGCCTGGCTAATTTTTGTATTTTTTATAGAGACGGAGTTTCACCATGTTGCCTCGGCCAGTCCGGAACTCCTGGGCTCAAACGATCTGCCTGCCTCGGCCTCCCAAAGTGCTGAGATTACAGGCATGAGCCCAGCATAAAAAAACTCTTGAGTGAGATTTTTATTTCTTGGGTATTTTGATATTACTAACACTATGATTTATAGAGTGCTGAAATGTGAATTTTCTCCATATAGTAATTAAAACGTGTTACATGTTTGTGCTTGGGTTTCCATCCTGTGGCTGAATTAATGACCAGCCACCTTTAGTAGCACCTAATGGATTTTTGAAGCAGTGTCCAGATGGCTTTGATTGGGAAACTGGAATCCCAGAGCCTTTTTATTTATAACAGATTGTGAAACAAGGGCTTCAAGTATGTGGGATATGGGATTGTTTGATTGGATGGATGCCATTGACTTAACCTTCTCATAAAATTTTTCTGGAATTGTGAACTGTCAAGGAAACTATATGTATTTTACATTTCTCATTCCTTTGTTTATGGGAACTTTAATTTGCCTCAACATTTTATGATGATGATTTTCAAATATACAGCAGAGTTTTAAAAATTTTACATACAGGCTGAGTGCAATGGCTCATACCTGTTATCCTGGCACTTGGGGAGGCCTCAAGGGAGGATCACTTGAGGCCAAGGGTTCGAGACTAGCCTGGGCAACATAGTGAGCCCTCATCTCTATAAAAAATACAAAAATTAGCAGGGCATGGTGGTGTGTACCTGTAGTCCTAGCTACTCAGGAGGCTGAAGCAGGAGGAGCCCTTGGGCCCAGGAGTTTGAGGCTGCAGTGAGATATGATCACACCATCACACTCTAGCCTGGATGATAGAGTGAGACCCTGTCTTAAAAAATAAAAATTTTACATTAACATTGGTATACCCACCATCTAGCTTCTACCATAGCATATTCACCAATTTTACATGTACAGTTGTAGTGAATTTATTTGGCCTTGCAACTGTTATCACAATCCAGTTTTAGAAGATGATCACCTGAAATATTCCTTTGTGTTTCTTTACAGTCAATCCTCACTCCTACCCTCCAGCCCCACACTCAGGAACCACTGTTTTCTCCTACTATATTGTGGCACCTCCCAGAAAATTCTGTAAATGTAATTTTTATAACACATTTTGTGTTCTAGCTTTTTCATTAAGCCTGAAGTTTGTTTTTTAAATAAAGCCAGTTAAATTTAGCAGTGGGGTTTTGTATACCAACTTTAGTAATGCTAATGTTAATGAGTTCTGATGACCCACTGCTATTGGACCAGCTTAGCCTGACGTTTTTGAGATTTGTTCATGTTATTTGTATCAGTAGTTCTTTCTTTCTGCAAGTCCTTTGTTTTCTTAAAAAAACAACAACTTTTTATTTTGAAATAACCTATATAGGAAGTTGCAAAGATAGTACAGAGAAGTCTTATGTATTCTTCACCCAATTACCCCCCAATGGTTACCACCTGTATAAGAAAAATTAGCATCTTCTTAGTACAGACTTTTAATTTCTTTCAAAAATGGCTCTTGAAAAATTTACTAAATATGGCAATTTAGTATTACTTTATTTTTCTTGGATTCTAAAGTAATTTTATTCAACTGTCTTAGACATTTTGGGCTTAGTTACTATAATAAATTTTGAGTTTTTTAGTCATAGACAATTCCAGGTGGCAAATATAAGTTTTTATGTTAGTGGGTATTGAAAGAAGTTGATCATTATGATTATTATTTTTTTTTGAGACAGAGTTTTGCTCTTGTTGCCCAGGGTGGGTGCCCAGGCTTGTAGTGGTGCGACCTCAACTCACTGTAACTTCTGCCTTCTGGTTTCAGTTTCTCCTGCCTCAGCTTCCTGAATAGCTGGGTTTACAGGCACCCACCACCACACCCATTTATATTTTTAGTAGAGATGGGGTTTCACCGTGTTGGCCAGAATGGTCTTGAAATCCTGACCTCGTGATCCGCCTGCCTCAGCCACCCAAAGTGCTGGGATAACAGGCGTGAGCCACTGTGCCCAGCCAGTTACTGATCCTAATCCCTGGGCCCAGTGATGGAGCTAGTAGAAAAATTCTATGATCTTGCTTATAAATTCTCAACTTTGCCTGAAAAACTGTCAGGTTTAGAAGGATCTTACTGAGTTTCTCATAGTGTCAGACCATAGACATTTCAATACTTCTGGAGGAATTGACGGGTATAAATGTTAGGTTCAGCAACTTTTATATGTTATTGCAGGTGTTTAGAATTTCACCGCAGTGCTGACTTTTGTTGATTAAAAAAAATAAAAATGTAACTTTGTTTTTGGCTGAACAAAAAGAAAAACCAAGTTTAAAATTTCAGAGTCAGCATTTTCCTGGTAAACCTTTTCAAACCTCAGTAGATGCTAAATGTAGAATATAGCTTATTTTTCCTCATAATTGGTTTCCTGGTATGTATTTAAAAATGTGAAATTGAAATTACAAATTAAACTGTAATAGCAATGCAGTGGAAAAACATATGCATTAAAGTTGCTCTGTTTAATATTTGTACTTAAAAACTAGTGTTCAGATGTTTTCAGTTCAAACAAATAAATACTAGTTTGTAGAATAACATTTTTAGTTATGGGCTAGAGGAACTGGAATAATCATTATCTGATCAATTTGAATTGGAAACAGTGTAAGTGTCCCAGGGGTCCAGGATACCTCTGACCTGGTAGTGTATTTTGTGATTAATTGATTTATTGAAAAGTAAACCACAGTAGGAAGAAGTAGACTAGAAGAGACTGGAATTTAGAATATAGATGTGCTCATTAGTCTTGGAGGCAGGGGACTCCAAATTCACTTTAGTGCTATGGGAAAAGATTCCAGTTTGCTGGTGGAATATAGTAGGTGTACATGGAGGCTGTTGTGGAGGACCATGTGAGCAGCTGGAGGCTGGGAAGTCCAGCAGGAGGAAATAGGGAGTCTCATTTAATGATTGGGATGATAGGGAGTTGCCGGACTGATTTTATTATAGAGGGAGTCTCATCCACATCATGACAGGAAAATATTCACTAATGGAGTAATCCCTTATCAAGAGAAGAGTAATAAAAATTCATATATAATCCGTGTACATGCACACACACCCTCAGAATAAATTTCCTAAAGTTAAAATTATATCTGCCATAACTGACAACAGCACAATAAGCTACTGTTTTTATAAAAGAGACATAAATAAAAGCCTCAAATGTCTGAAACATAAAAATGTTTTTCTAAATAACTATTGGATTAAAAAAATATTGGAACTACCATTGAGAAAGACTTACTAGAAAAAAGTTCACAATGAATAATAGGGATAAAAATTTAAGAGTGTGCGGCCAAAGTGATACATAGAGGTAAATAGCACTAAATTCCAGCACAAATTGATGAAAATACCATATTTTTAAATGAAAAGATTGTTTTGTAAAGAAATGACGTACCTCAGGACAGAATTAGTGTTCCTGCAACTTGCACTAAAATTAATTTCAAACAGACTAAAAGGGAAAATGTTTAAAAAAGAAAAAAGGAGCAATGAAAACAACAGAAGTAAGAAAATTTAATAATACTTAGCTTATGTTAGGTTGTGGAAGGATTATCTGAGTCTAAAAGTATTACATAAAAGCTAAAAAATTATGTCAATCAACACCAATATAAATCAACATAAAAGGTAAGTTCATGCCAAGAAAATATTTAAAACATAACAATAACTACCTTCTTAAAACAAATTTGAAAAAAACAAACTCAAGTTGAAAAACAGGTGAGGAACAACAAAGTTGTCAAAAGACAAAATATAAATGGCCAACAAACATGGGGAAAAAAAGCTTAGTTTTAGGATTCAATATATATATGGTATAGTAGTGAAGGTTCATTGTCCAGCAGTCAAAATGGTAAGTTTGCTAAAAAGATAATTCTCAGTATTTTGTAGTATGCAATGAAACAGGCACATCTCACATTCACAAAGAATGAAAACAGTCTTGGCAGTTGGACTGTGAATTTTAAAATATGTACAATTTTGCATCCTAAGAAAATAATCGTCTTTTAGTTCAATCTGTCATCCATAACATTTATAGTACATTTTGAGCCTATATATCAGGCATTATACAGAACTGAATGTTTTACATTTGTCTCATTTAATTCTCATGCTAATCTTATAAGTGTGTCATGTGCATTTAACAGATGGGGTGTCTGAGGCCTAAAGAGATGAAAACTCCCCAAGGTTATAATGTAACTTGACAGAGTTCAGTCTTGGGAATACACTTGTGCTATTAATTAGGAGTGAAAGCAAGTTCTAAAATTGTACCTGCTAATAATTAATTTTTCTTAACTATGTAAAGAAAATTAAAACAGTAAAAACCATCAAGCAGTATTCATAAATGTTATTAATAGCATATTATTAATGTAATTATTTTTATTAACAGATAAAAGATTATCATTTCTATTTACTTTTCTACAATTGGACTTTCTTTTTTTTTTTTGAATGACAAACTTAAAAAATAAAACTGGAAGTGAGGAACAGGCAGTAGGCAAAGGTGAAGATCAAAGAGCAATTAAAAAAAAAATCCAGGCCGGGTGCCGTGGCTCACGCCTGTAATCCCAGCACTTTGGGAGGCCGAGGCGGGTGGATCACGAGGTCAAGAGATCGAGACCATCCTGGTCAACATGGTGAAACCCCGTCTCTACTAAAAATACAAAACATTAGTTGGGCATGGTGGCGCGTGCCTGTAATCCCAGCTACTCAGGAGGCTGAGGCAGGAGAATTGCCTGAACCCAGGAGGCGGAGGTTGCGGTAAGCCGAGATCGCGCCATTGCACTCCAGCCTGGGTAACAAGAGTGAAACTCCGTCTCAAAAAAAAAAAAAAATCCAACAATACCAGTGTGAATACCCCAAGCAGAGTTTTTCAAGCACTTGCCTTTTGACTTACACAAAAAACTAAATTTGGTTAGGCACATACTAATTTACTCAACTCATCTTTTCCTTCCTTCCTTAGGGGTATTAGGAATTTTATAAGCATTCAATGGATTATAAGGTGTTTCGCTTTTGTATCTACGAAATAAAGGTTAAGTCATTTGTTCAAGATTCAGAAAAGGAGAATAGCGATAGATTTCCCAAGTTCTGGTTCATTCACTGTTACTAAGGTAGATTTATTTATTTTATTTTATATTTAGTTTTATTTTTGTTTTTTCGAGACAGGGTCTCCCTGTGTCCCAGGCTGCAGTGCAGTACTACGATCCTGGCTCACTGCAACCTCTGCCTCCTGGGCTCAAGCGATCCTCCTGAGTAGCTGAAATCACAGATGTGCACCACCACACCCAGATAATTTTTGTATTTTTTTTTTTTTTTTTTTGTAGAAACAGGGTTTCATCATGTTGCCCAGGCTAGTCTCGAACTCCTAAGCTCAAGCAATACACCCGCCCCGGCCTCCCAAAGTGCTGAGATTACGTACGTGAGCTACCATGCTCAGCCCTAACGTAGTTTTAAAAGATGGATAAAAAATAACCAAACAAAAAAAAGAAAAAAGAAAACATGGATAATGTATACTATAAAACCAATGGGAATTTTATTTTCAGCTTTTTAAAATTAAAAGTTCTAAATTCTTAAGATGTAACTGCAACTTATTCTCCTGCTTTTTTGTGATGTTTCAGGCGTATACTAGCCAGTTTGTATCCCTTGTGATGTTCGCCCTTATGATGTGTGATGACAGGATCTCCATGCAAGAAAGACGCAAAGAGATCATGCTTGGATTGAAAAGGCTGCCTGGTACAAAGATATTCACATATTATACTTTTGTTTTCTAAGGGAGTGGTAATAGGTAAAATTCTCAAGCTGTGGCTTTTAGCTATTTATTCAGTAAGACCTTTCTACTTTTGCTCCAGTATATTAAAAAAAAACCCACACTAATAGCACAGAGGAATAGAAACACTGGTCTTTTATCGGTTGCTACCAACATATTGTTATTTTATTTGTTTGGTTTATTTTATTGTCTTTTTTTGCTAATATTCTTAGATTTGATTAAGGAAGTACTGAGCATGGATGACGAAATTCAGAAACTAGCCACAGAACTTTATCATCAGAAATCAGTTCTGATAATGGGACGAGGCTATCATTATGCGACTTGTCTTGAAGGGGCACTGGTAAGTTTTCTCAGTTCTAATTAATATTAGTCCACTGACTTGCAGAACTGGCACATAGTTATACTTTTACATTAAATGAATGAAATAGGTAGAACTTTTAAAAGTGCTTCTGTATTTATGCATTGTGGTTTGTTTACTTTAAAAAAGTGCAACAGAGAGCTCTGTTCAGAAGTGAAAATCAAAAAGAGTACATTTTAGCATGATAAACTTGGATTTAGCAGGTAACTTCAGTTAATTTGTTCAAATATGAATAAAGATTAAGTTCTCTAGAAAAAAATTTAAATTTAATTGAGATCAGGCTGTACACAACAGTTCATGTCTGTAATCCCAGCACTTTGGGAGGATGTGACAGGTGGATCACTTGAAGTCAGGAGTTCGAGACCACCCTGGCCAACATGGTGAAACCCCATCTCTACTAATAATATAAAAAAATTAGCTGGATGTGGTAGCATATGCCTGTAATCCCAGCTACTTGGGAGACTGAGGCAGGAGGACCACTTGAACATAGGAGGCAGAGGCTTCAGTGAGCCAAGATTATACCATTGCGCTCCAGCCTGGGTGACAGAGTGAGACTGCATCTCAGAATTTTTTTTTTTTTTTTTTGAGACAGAGTCTCACTCTGTCACCCATGCAGAAGTGCAGTGTTGCGATCTCGGCTCACTGCAACCTCTGCCTCCTGCTTCAAGTGATTCTCCTGCCTCAGCCTCCCAAGTAGTTGGGACTGCAGGTGCGTGTCACCACGCCCAGCTAATTTCTTTTAAATTTTTAGTAGAGACGGGGTTTCAGTGTACTAGCCAGGATGGTCTCAGTCTCCTGACCTTGTGATCTACCCGCCTTGGCCTCCCAAAGTGTTGGGATTACATGTGTGAGCCACCACGCCCGGCCAAAAAAAGTTTTTTTAATTGAGGTTAAACATGAAGCAAGAGGGAGAAGAGTTACCAAGAAATATGCATATGTTCGTGATAATCTAAAATGTTTAAAAAGTCCTTGTAGAGCTTTAAAACTTCCAATTACTTGTTGATCTTATAGAAATAGTTATCTATTAACTTGTTAGATACATTTATAGATCAGTGGTCCTTTAATACCTTTGGATAAATAGGCAGTGGCTTGACATATCAGATGCTTTGTATAATATTTACTTAGAGGTAGATTTTTGAAAAGCGGACTGAAGACATATCTGGTTCTTTCCTATTAGAAAATCAAAGAAATTACTTACATGCACTCTGAAGGCATCCTTGCAGGTGAATTGAAACACGGCCCTCTGGCTTTGGTGGATAAGTTGATGCCTGTGATCATGATCATCATGAGAGATCACACTTACGCCAAGTGTCAGAATGCTCTTCAGCAAGTGGTTGCTCGGCAGGTAATTCGGGGGACTGTGAGTACACGTTGGGGATCAAAGAGGGCAGTTACATTCGCTTATTTGAATGACTTGCAAAACATGTTTACATGTGTTAACTCATTTACTTTATAATATAGCATTTGAGGTTTACATGTGAGGAATCAGATACTTGGGTTTTTTTTTTTTTTTTTGGAGACAGAGTCTTGCTCTGTTGCCCAGCCTGGAGTGCATTGGTACAATCTTGGCTCACTGCAAGCTCTGCCTCCTGGGTTCAAGTGATTCTTCTGCCTCAGCCTCCCAAGTAGCTGGGATTACAGGTGAATACCACCATGCTTGGCTAATTTTGTATTTTTAGTAGAGATGGGATTTCATGTTGGCCAGGCTGGTCTCAAACTCCTGACCTCAAGTGATCCACCCACCTCAGCCTCCCAAAGTGCTAGGATTATAGGTGTGAGCTGCCATGCCCAGCCCAGATACTTAGAGTTTTCAGAAGACCAAGGTCATAGATCTCATACTGGGCAGAACCAAACCAGAAGTGAGGTCTTGGTCTCTATATCCTATCTTCTTTCAGTTAACATATGCTGCTCCCTTTTAATTTAATACTTCTAAAACAGTTCAAAATGTATTTTAAAATATTTTTAAATATATGTTTCAGCTGGGTGCAGTGGCACATGACTGTCGTCCCAGCTACTCTGTGGACTGAGACAGGAAGATCACTTGAGCCCAGAAGTTTGAATACAGCCTGGGTAAAGTAGTGAGACCCTATCTTATAAAAGTAAATAGAATTGAAAAAAGGCCAGATGCAGTAGCTCACGCCTGTAATCCCAGCACTTTGGGAGGCCGAGGCAAGAGGATCGTGAGGTCAAGGGATTGAGACCATCTTGGCCAACATGGTGAAACCCCATCTCTACTAAAAATACAAAAAATTAGCTGGGCGTGGTGGTGCGTGCCAGTAGTCCCAGCTACTCAGGAGGCTGAGGCAGGAGAATTGCTTGAAACTGGAAAATGGAAGTTGCAGTGAGCCAGGATTGCGCCACTGCGCTCCAGCGTGGTGATCGAGACTATGTCTCAAAAAAAAAAAAAATTAAAATTGAAAAAAACAAAACAAAAAACATACACATGATATATTTCAGGGGAAATCTAACATTTAGGTTTTATTTTAATATTACTGAGTTTTCTTCAGATCAGTTGGCTTTATATATAAATTCCAAAAGATAACTATTCCCTAAGCACAATGTAGTAGTAATGAGCTTGAGGTTTGAAGTTAGGCAAACCTGCATTCAAGTACTAAGCCTGGTATTTCTCAGTTGCATGAGTTTAAACAAATTACTGGATCCCATAAAGCTTCTGTTTCCTTGACTGTAAGTACTAACAATCAGATTTACTACATAGGAATTTAAAGAAGTCTGTCAGTCATGCTTCGTATGGATTACGCAGTGTAATTTTTGCACATTCATAAACTATAGCCCTGCCTTTGCCTACCAGTGGTGTTGTGTATGTGTGTGATTTTCTTTCCTAGGGACGTCCTGTGGTAATTTGTGATAAGGAGGATACTGAGACCATTAAGAACACAAAAAGAACGATCAAGGTGCCCCACTCGGTGGACTGCTTGCAGGGCATTCTCAGTGTGATCCCTTTACAGTTGCTGGCTTTCCACCTTGCTGTGCTGAGAGGCTATGATGTAAGTCATCTACCACTGCGGAAATCTTGGGATGTTTTTTACTTGGATACATTCTGATTTTTTTCTCCCAAATTTTTAACAATAGTGTTTGAGAAATCTATCAAATATGTACCTGTCACCTGTTAAATTTTCATGGTCCAATTTGTAGGTTACATCACAACATTATCTTACCCATTGAACTTGAAGATACTTTGGGGTTCACCTCCAAGATTGTGAGTCACCTTGAGGAATCTCCACCTGTTTTGTAACTCCATGTCACTTAATAGGGCAGCTATTGACATTTGGCAGGACAATTCTTTGTTGTTTGGAACTTTCCCACACATTGGAGACTTTTTAGCATTCCTGGTTTCTCAGTCATTGTGGCAACCAAAACACTGCTTTTGTTTTTAGTGTCCCTTATGAGGGCTAGTACTTCTGTAGGGGACCACAGTACCTCTTTCTGTGTGAACTGGCACCTTTAGAATGCTTTTTCCTAACCAATTTTCAGTTTTCTTCAGGACCATTATGTGATTATGTTTTCTAATCTAATTCTTTGTAGTCTATAATAAAGATGGCTGATGAACATACTGTTTTCTGTTTTTATAAACAAAAATAATTTGCTTATAGCAACCACCCCCTTCCCCAGTCTGTATAATCTCTCAAGTCTTGCTTTTTTTTTTTTTGCAGGTTGATTTCCCACGGAATCTTGCCAAATCTGTGACTGTAGAGTGAAGAATATACAAAATGTATGAAACTCTGTATGATTAAGCAACACAAGACACCTTTTGTTTTTAAAACCTTGATTTAAAATATCATCCCTTGAAGCCTTTTTTTAGTAAATCCTTATTTATATATCAGTTATAATTATTCCACTCGATATGTGATTTTTGTGAAGGTACCTCTTACATTTTTCCAGTAATTTGTGGAGGACTTTGAATAATGGAATCTATATTGGAATTTGTGTCAGAAAGATTTTAGCCATTATTTTCTTTAAAGAATGCTGGTTGTTGCATTTCTGGACCCTCCACTTCAATCTGAGAAGACAGTATGTTTCTAAAATAATTGGTACTTGTTTCACCATACTTCCTTCAGACCAATGAGAGTAATGCATTTAATTGGAATATCTAAAGCCAGTGGCAGTATATACTCATATTTGGACAGTTAGGGAAGGTTTGTGAAGTTATATAAAGAGGAGATGTGATTTATTTTGAAATTTGTTTCTGTTTTTTTTTTTTAAATCAAACTCTAAAACTTAAAACTGAAAAATTTTCTTGGTAGGATTTATATCTAAGTTTGGTTAGCCTTAGTTTTAGTTTCTCAGACTTGTTGTCTGTTACCTATAGGTGGAGGAGATTTAGGAAGCAAAATATTATAGTAGTGCATTGGTGGTCTCCAATCCTTAACATATTTGCACAGTTTTATAGCACAGACTTTAAATTTGAGCTGCTTTGGACAACTGACAATATGATTTTAAATTTGAAGATGAGATATGTACATGTTGGGTGTTCTACTTCTTTTGTTTTCATCTCCTAAAACTGGTTTTTATTTCCTTGTATCTTTAGTCTTTTATTTTTAAAATGACTTCTGAATGACATAATTTTATCTTGTTCTTTAAAATCACAACACAGAGCTGCTATTAAATTAATATTGATATATTCAGTATTCTTTTCAACTTTGTCGCAAGGAAGAATTTCCTATAGTTAATTTTGACTTTCCTTCACTACATTGTTGCGTAAAACTAGTCCCTTAGTGCCAGTTTGAAAGTTATTTGTAATTGTTTGGAAGATGTGCAAGTCGTTGACCTCATCATTTCACTGTAAGTATATGTGGTAGGCTGGGCTCAGAAAAAGGTATGTATGCTTTGCACTGATAGGCACCAAATTTCATATTACATCCTAGGTATTTTTTCTTTATATTTTCTGTGCTCTTCTCCTGAAATATGCTTAGGAATAAAGATATAAATAGAGTGATACTGGGGTATGTTCAGCTTGTAGGTATCAGAAATGGAAGTTGACAGTTTGGATTAAAATATTTAAAGTAGAATGTTATTATTTGATACCCCCAAAATCGTGAATAATAATTTCTTCATGGAGTTTTTCTGGCCAGATCTTCGGGGCTATAGTAGAGTGTGTTTGTTTTTGGTTAAGTCCTTCTTTTTCAAAGGTTTTTACTTTTAAATTGTGAAGGTGAACTATTTAATAGCACAATTAGTTAAGTAAGCTAAGTCTTTTCCTTTCTGTTTTTTGGTGTTTGAACTTCTCGGTGAGGTTAAGATTTTCTAATAGCTATTGCTGTTGCCAGAGAAACATAAATTTCTGCTTGTGTATTAGGGTTAGAGAAAGATTTGGTGTATTTTGAGGTAATTTGGAAGGACTTTCATAGATGGTGACTAGAAACCTGATCTTTTTAAGAATAAAATAGGGTCACTATTTACATTACGTATATATAGCTATTATAGCTATATTAGTCTACTTTAATTGTTTCTAAGATTATTTTGTGTAAGTCAGCTAGTTTAAATGTGTGTATAGTGTCATTTCTTCTGTTTGGTGTATTAACAAATATGACTTGTGTGGGTTTGTAGCATTTCTTTTTCTTTTCTTTTTTTTGAGACAGTCTCACTCTGTCACTTAGGCTGAAAGGCCATGGTGCAGTCTTGGCTCGCTGCAACCTCTGCCTCTTGGGTTCAAGCAATTCTTCTGTCTCAGCTTCCTGAGTAGTAGAGGTTAAAGGTGTGTATCACCACACCTGGCTAATTTTTGTATTTTTAGTAGAGACGAGGTTTCACCATGATGGCCAGGCTGGCCTCAAACTCCTGACCTCAGGTGATCCACCCACCTTGGCCTCCCAAAGTACTGCGATTACAGGCATGAGCCACCATGCCCAACCTGTAGCATTTCTTATAGTTTAAAGTTTGATTCAGCATTCTAAGTTAAAACTAATAAGTAAAATCAATCATTAGTGTGCATAATCTCTATGTCTCTCCCTGTGTGTGTGTCTTTCTTTAAAGCACATGTGTACACACACAACATACTGAAAGCTAGGGTAAGTTCTAAACTGAATATCAAAAACCAAAATTAAGAACAAACAAGTGATATTTTCCAAACAAACATGGATTCTCTGCTGGGTGCAGTGGCTCAGCCTGTAATACCAGCCTGCACTTTGGGAGGCCTAGGTGGGAGGATCACTTAAGCCCAAGAGTTTGAGAACAGCCTGGGCAACATGGTGACACCTGATCTCTACAAAAAATTTTTTTAAAAAGTTGGCTGTACCTGGTGGCTTGCACCTCTAGTCCCAGTAATTTGGGATGCTTACATGGGAGGATCACTTGAGCGTGGGAGGTAGAGGCTGCAGTGACCTGTCATTGTGCCAGTGTGCTCTAGCTTGAGTGACAAGTGAGACCCTCCTTACTCAAAACAAAAAACATGGCTTCTCCTCTCTCCCCCTTCTTCTTACTTTCTATCCTATTTGATGTAGTGATTTTTAAATGCTTTTATAAATTAATTCTTAACACAAAAGAGACATTGTAATGAGGCAAACCAGTAAGTGAGCTTGCCCAGTTAAAACCAGTGTAATACAGGATAAGAAAATCTGATTTTTCAAAAAAGATACTCTACATAAGTTCTTCATATACAAAGTTTTTTCTTGTAATACTTTTAAAGTTTTAATTCACTCAGATATAACGGAGAGATCCTTACCCTCTGAGCCCTTTTTAGGCAGGGGAACATGTCTGTCATTTAGCATGTGGCCCAGTAAATGATTATTACATTGCAATCAATTTTTCAGTCTTTTTTTAAAAAAATTATATGCCATACGAATAAAACATAGAAAAATTAATGTTAACTATTTTTAGGTTATTATAACTATGTCAACAAGTATTAATACCTGTTACAGGCCAGTCACTGTGGCAGGCATTGAAAATTACATCATCTTTAAAGCAGTATTTCTCCCCTTATTGGCTCATTACTAGCAAAGACTAGGTTCACTGGACGGCACAGGATGAGATAATGGGAAGGTGGAGTGGAGGTGGGTTGTTAAAGTACTGTGAGTGAGTGATTTTGTTTACTTGAATAGTGATCCATGTTTGGGGATATATCGTGTTTGTAAGAAGTGAAAGGTATTTGCGAAGTGAGCTATAAATGAGCCATAAATCTGTTACAACAGTCCTTAATATGCAAAGATGAAAAACAAGCATTACTGCTACCCAAAGGGAACTGACGTTTGGTGATGTGCAGATGGGGCTGTTGGTTAAGAGAGCTAATACAGATTTTCTCTGTTAGGTTTCATAGGAGGTAGTTTCTGAGATGAGATTGTTTTATCTTTTTGAATACAAATGTCTTGTCCTGAGTTCTGGGGATGGGAGGACAGGAGTCTTTTTTTTTTTTTTGGCTCCTTAGTAATACTCCTCTGACATTTATTTCTATTATTCTTTAAAGAAAGAAAACCAAATGAAATGTTTGCTTTAACAAACATTTTCAAAAGTTCTTTGGGTTGATTTTTTTTCACTTTTTTAAAAAATTAGGATATACCATAGCAATAAAATAACTAAGTGATTTTTCTAAAGAAGCACAACGCCATTGAAAAGTATTATTGAAAAGGATCATAGTTCACATTCAATTTGTGAAGGCCAAAGAAATTGAAAGGAGTGTGATATTTTCATTTTATGATATTTGCATATTTAGTAAATTTTGTGTAAAAGAATACCTGGCAGAGTGTTTTACCCATGGAAACAGGTTTCAGATTACTTTTTTTGTACTGTTAGAGTCTCAAGTTTAGAAATGTTAACATTTAAATCAGTTTTTTTCTCACTATACTTAAAGATTGTTAATGTTTTGATATCTTTCTAGCTTGATGAATTTAAACATATCGTCAGATGTGTGACAGTGACAACCAATAAGACTGATAATATTAGCTTCAAACCAGTAATATCCAGGGTTAAAAATCATAGTGAAAGCACGATTGTAAAATTATGCCATATTCTTTTAAGTCTGTAATAGCTTGATATCAAAATGTTATGTAATATACCATAAATAATGGCTAATGAGAACATCTTTGGAAATTCTCAAATTACCTTTCTTACTACACTGTTTTCAGAATGAATGTAGAAATGATTCTGTTAGATTTTTGAATGTTCTGTGGTTGAATGTGTTTTTGCTTAAATAAAGCTTTTGGTATTTGTTTAAATGACACTTCTTGTGAGGTGGAAATTTTAGAATCATCTTTGCTTTGTTTCAGTTTTGTGTTTTTGAAATGACTATTTACTTTACTGAGCCAGTTGATCATTTCTTCCTCATGTCTTGTTAAGTCCGGTGACTAAGCCTGAACTGTGAATAAATTACCAAAAACTTGCTTAGAATTTCATTTTGAGGCAATTTGCTAATATTTGAAGCTTCTATACATTTGTAGTCATGTTAAAAATTGTATTGTACTAAGAATGTAGTCAGTGTCTACCTTAGTTGTGAATATTTCTGATGTCAAAACTTTATTCGTTACTGTTGATTTTAAGAATAAGAAATCACTGCCTAAATATTACCAAAAAAGCCACGTCTTTACCCCAACTTCTCAGTTTGGGAAAGAATCACTAGATAAAACAAAGGCTCTGCCCTTTCTGATACCACACTCCACAGATATTTTTTCACATCTTTTTAAACATTTTGCAATAATATGTTTTTTATAGGAAGTTTACAGGATATGCAATGATTAAAATTTTTAAGTGAATTGATAGTTGCAAAAGAAGGATAAAGTTTCTATAGCAAGACAATCTAAAGTTTTTGTAATATCTGGTGCTTTTAATTATAGAGCAAAGATTCCCTTACAGAATCCTTTTATGAATGGCAAGATAGAGTCTATCCCTAGTGGTTATAGCACTTGCTTTGTTTTTCAGGAGACAGTTATGGCAGGGTGATTTGAATTGATAGATGTGCTGTTTTGCCTGCTTGTAGATCAGCCCAGTCTTTGGTCTCTCTCTCTGTGTCTCTCTCTCCTTTGCCTCGCCCTCTGTCTTCTTCTGCAGCAGAGCCTAAGGCTGTCCCACCAACATGTGTCATTTTTTCCAAAGTCTACGTTTTTGACATAAAATTCAGCTTTACTTCTAGTGAACAGTTTTCTTTAAATTCTCCCCACTTGGCTCAGTAAGTACTGAGTGCTTACTAAAAGCCAAGAAATGATTTCCCTAAAAATTAAGCAGCTGCTTTTCATTGAAGTGGCATTTAGAGAAAAGTAAATTGAGAAAAAAGTAAAGGTTAAGTTTCTCTCATTAATCAAAGATTAATAGGTTACCTTCATTTTTTAAAAAGATGCTGTAGGAGGTTTAATAGCTTAACAAGCATCCTGGAGTTACAAACTTAATCTTGTGAGAGTACACAGAAAAGTTCTAGGTTGTAAGTTATTTAATCAGCTGACCTCTTCTGGGTAGCATATATATAATAATTTTATTAATCTTTTTTGGTTAGCATGAATACAACAGATTATTTACAAGGTTGAAAAGGCACATTTGTGAACTTCATATTAACATAATTCATTGACTCAAATTCCAAGGTTTACTTATGTATTTTCTCATAGAGAATGTTTTTATGTAGCCATACTTCCCTTTTTATACTCTAGGATGTTTTGAATATGAAGTGTAGATGTGTAACTGAAAATATGGACTCAAATCCAA